ATGGTTGCTTTACCTAGCACAGTTGGGACTGGAAGCACTGGGCTGGTCTAAACTCTAAACAAAATGATTACCGATGGAAAAACAAATGAAGAACGATTGCCTCAAATACTAGGGCTTGGTTTGAAGCGAACTGGCATTACAATTTGTTGATTGTTCTAGGGCTAATCTCTGAATCTAGAAGGGCTTACAAAAGAGTCGAACGAACAAGAGGCATGAATCCCCTTTTTGCACTTTGAGGGTGTGTCTCAAAATCAGGATTTAGGGCCCCAAAATGGTTGGATGTTTTGTTGGTAGGGGTTGCTTCCCCCTTCTTTTCAACCTTCGCTCTTTTCAAAACCCCAGGCCCCGCTGCGTCTGTTGCCTTTCTTCGCTTTACTTGAGGAAGGGTTTACGAGCATAGCGAGTTGGACATCAAGTTCCTATTGGGCTTCTGGAAGTGTAACAGCCATATGGGTGCGTCAGTTGGCGAGGTTACCCTTGTTTTGGTGGTTTCTCGGTTGCTTGCTGCTCCCCTGCGAAAAGTGACTAACTTTTAGTGGTGTAATGGAAAACCCATTAGTTGGCAAAAAGTTAAAGCCCTAACATCTAAGCAAAATGCACCAAAGGTTTATAGAGGCACACGAAAAGGACAACTGCCAGCGTGTGGCTTCCCTGAAAAGGGACACCCACATATGGCCCAACATGTGTCAAACAATAATCACGAACATAGTCACTCGATTATTCCCCTACAACTACCAACGAGCAATAGTTTTTCATGGTGTCAGAGTGGTGCAGGATTGCGTCCATCAACAGTATTGCCTCCCTATCCAAAATGGGATATGGACCCGCCAAGCTCGTTGCTTCAGTTTTTCTGTGAAGGTACTTGAAAAGCCAATTCTCCTAGATTCCACTTTATGCTGGCATCTCCTGCTCACCCTTCAAGCATGGGGACCCTTTCTTTTGAGCAATGACCCCATTTTCCAATGAAAAGCTTGGTTGCTGCAACGACCCCCCTGCAAAAAGGTTTTTCACTTTTTGGGGTTCAACCGAAAAGTTGAAGTCTAAAGATCCGTTGCCCAATAGCAGTCAAGAAAGGAGACTCCAGGTAGGTACCAGGGATCCTTACAGTGGATCCACCTGAACATTGCAACTTGTTTTCTGGTTGTTTCCAACTTTAGTTTGGTGTTGAAAAAGCCAGCAACATGTTTCAAATGGCAAGGCACAGCGGATGTATCTTTTGAGGAGCCCTGCGGAACCACCCTCTATGCTTGGAACTCCAAAACAAGACATCCCGCTCCTCAGGGCGTTGAGCGAACACATGGAGGGACCACTCCTTGGATCGCATCGCGTGATGTGCCCAGCGAAGCGAGGAATTTGATCGGAGATGGGCAAACCTCCAGGTTTTTGAGGCGCCCCATGTTTCCACTTACCGATCGGGCAATTTCATTTTGGAACTGTCCGGCTTTTTGAGCCACAGCCATTTTGTGGTGGACATATTTCTCGTGGGGGTTTATGTCCACCAAGCATTTGGAAGGATATTCCTCCTGGTAAGCATCATAGCCAGATCTCTTCCGTCACCCCTTTGCTGTTCAACTATATCTCCTGTCCAGAACTTCATAAGTCAATCAAATCACAGGCCCCTTCACTTGCAACGCACCATCTCTCTGTTTTCACCTCCAGGCACGTCAGCTTCGCTGAATGCGTCAGATGTCACACGCACACCACACGCCTTGCGGATTCCCTGCTGCAGCTTCGCTGGCCGAGGGCTCCAATTCGTTAACTGGATTTGGCTCAAATGGATGACCCGGAAAAGATGATCCTAGGTCCTCCAGTAGGGAGTATAGAATAAGGCTACCATTTTTTTCGGTAGTTCTATTTTAGTAGTGGAACCCTCCCCAAAAAAAGGCAAAAGGGCACCTAGCTGGTTTTGAGCGAGCCGTGCGCCACTTTCGTGTCACGCATCTGGGCGCTCACTTTGAACATGCCAAGGCCTGTGTTGGAAAACATGAGAGAACTCCAAAAAGGGCTCCAAACCCCTTGGGGGCGTTGAACCACTCTGAAGGGTTTTCCTCACGTGCTGGTTTGGCCCAAACATTGCATGCTCACATCTCCGTGACCATCCCTGTATCTGAGCTCAAAGTACCAATCATTCAAGCCTAAGATGCCTAAAGAGGCCTGGCTGAGCACTGGATCTCGCAGGCTGTCGCCTGGCTCAATCCAGGTCAGGAAAGAGATCGAACTTGATGACCAAGGCCGCCTTGTTGAGGCCTTGCGACTCGAAGGATCAAAATCAGGCGAGTTGCAAACTTGGATCAGATTGGGTGCCGGGGTCAAACCCGACTGCTTTTGGGTCTGAATGGTCGCACAGGATTTAAATTTAGCCCTTACCCATCATGAAACAAGGTACCTGAACACCAAGACCCGCTAAGAGAGCAACAAATAAACGGGAGACCACTACGAAACAAGGCAACGACTTACTAAAACAGGGATCCTTACGTTATACACCTGAACATTGCCTTGTCAATGGTAGTTTCCCCTTATTTTGGTGGAAAAAGCCATGCTTCAAATTGGCAAAATGTATCTTTAAAGGAGCCCTGCTGAAAAGGAAACACACGCAAACGGGTTTTTACTCGTTCACAGGCGGGTTGTCCTATATTCCTTTGCCCTGGATTGGGTCCTTGGGCCGCACTTGGGCCGCACTTGCGCGGATTTCCGCGCGCGCAGTGACGCGGAAACTAGGTTTTGTTCACCTCGGTTTGCGAAGTTTTCGTGTGGATTGTGCGCAAGCTTTTCTAAGCAGTGTGTTTGTCGTTCACACAGCAGCCCACAAAGGCTCTTCCCGCTGAGTGAGGTCGCTCCCAGGAAATCTAGGCCAGCAACATACTCTAGACCAACAGAATGGACAGCAGGCTCTCCCACACAGCGTGAAAGAAGGCTAGGGACATCCGAGAGAGCAAATGGCTAGACATCTTGCTGGAGCGCGCAACTTGCGCGCGGCTTGCGCGGATTTTGTCGTGTCAGTTGCTGATTGTTTGACGTCCGGAAAAATGACGCACCTTTAAAAACAAGTTTGTGACCTACACATGACCCAAGCAACATTCCAAAAGCACAAGTACAGAAAAAAGATATCACCTTCTTTCATAAAGCTAGGCAACATCACCTGGAGCCTCCATTGCTACCTTAATTTTTGCTACGAAATATTTTTGCTCGTGACACGATCTTCTCAAAAAAACGCTCGTTTTAACAGAAAGTGCTCGAGACATCCGCGCAAATGCAATTTGCTACCTGCGCTTTGTAGTATTTTTTGAATTTGCGCTCGTTTGCGCTTTTTTGCGCCGATTTGCGCTCGTTTTGCACTTGTTTGCACATTTTTGCGTCCGTTTTGGCGGCGGGGAAGAAGAAAACACGGCCGAATGGGATTTCTGCCCGAAAGCGCTCGGAAGCGAATGGGAGGCGAAAAGTGCTACGTCGAGTCAATTTTGGTATCGAACAAGGGGGGAGGCACAAATTTATGCTACGATGGAGATTCCACTGGGATAGGGTCGTACTTATAACTTGAGTTATAAGTTACTACAAGTGGACTTATAACGTGGGACAAGTGGACTTATAAGTTTGCTAAGTCCGAGGATAGTTATAAGTTACTTGTCTATGTTTAACTTAGATAGGCCCACTTATAAGTTCGAGCTAAGTTCCGGGTGCCGGGACTTAGAATGAACTTAGCTGGGACTTAGCTTTTTAGCACCATTTGAGGAAAACAGCCTTCGGTCATTCAGCGCTTGCGAAGCAATGTCCCAAACGCGTCTACCTCGCTGAGTCTACGTGTCTGCCTGCGTGCGAAAAAGCACGCGTGCGCTACCCCTGACATGTTGCGGACCACATCGCTGAACGAGAGAGAAAGCCTGACACCGGACTACGCGCGCGCGCATCATTTTTCGAGACGTACGGTCGCTCCCGGCTAGACCGCGCAGGGCGGAACACGGCGTAGCGGCGGCGGGGCCGCTTCCATGTTTGGAAAACACATCGCGGCAGGACCGCGCAGCGACCATCGCGGCAGGACCGCGCAGTGAGCCATCGCGGCAGGACCGCGCAGCGAGCCATCGCGGCAGGACCGCGCAGCGACCATCGCGGCAGGACCGCGCAGCGACCATCGCGGCAGGACCGCGCAGCGACCATCGCGGCAGGACCGCGCAACGACCATCGCGGCAGGACCGCGCAGCGACCATCGCGGCAGGACCGCGCAGTGAGCCATCGCGGCAGGACCGCGCAGTGAGCCATCGCGCATGCAGTTTACGCTGTTTGTTCGCGCTGCTTCGCACGCTTGGCTCGATGGAGCCGGAGCATTTTTTGCACTGATTGACTCGGTTTAATTTCGTTGTCCAATAATCGTTTCTATAGCGGTGTCTCCGCTGGCGGCCAGGTCCGCCTTCATATAGTCGCATGGGGTGGTTTCTCCGCCGGCGGCCGGTCCGCCCATTTTGCTTTTCTCGTTTGATGATATATCATTGTAGCGGTGGTTCCGCTGGCGGCCGGTCCGCCAAGCTTTTTTTGCCACGTTCATTTTCATTTCGAGATGGCACTTGAAGCGGTTGTCCGCTGGCGGCTGGTCCGCCCAGGAATTGTTCGGCGTGATTTTTATTTCGAGATGGCACTTGAAGCGGTGGTCTGATGGCACCTTGCGATTTTTTGCATGTTTGGATTGTGAGTGCGCGGATGAAAGGCTGCAAGACTCAAAAGGCTCCAGAATCCAGACTGCTGACTGCAAACTCCACACTCCAGACTGCAGACTCCAGACTGCAGACTCCAAACTGCAGACTCCAGACTGCAAACTCCAGACTCCAGACTGCAAACTCCAGACTGCAGACTCCAGACTGCAGACTCCAGACTGCAGAGTCCAGACTGCCAACTCCAGAATCCAGACTGCAGACTCGAGATTCCAGATTCCAGACACAATGACTCCTGGCTCCAGGATCCTGATCATTTTGTGGTGGAATTCGGCCACGGGGCCAAGTTAAGTTATGTTAAGTCGTGGTGACGCAACTGGGCCTCACGGGGAAAGTTTGGCAGTTAAGTTGATTGAGTTACAATAGGGACTCCACGGCTCCACACGACCCGCCCAGGTTAAGTTAAGTTAAGTTTTGTTAAGTTCGAAAAAACTGCACCGGCCTTTCCGGGCTTTGGGGCGGGGCTGTCTGGATGCTGGATTCTGGGGTCTGGACTGTGAATTCTGGAGTCAGGAGTCTGGATTCTGGAGTCTGGATTCTGGAGTCAGCAGTCTGGAGTCTGCAGTCTGGAGTCTGCAGCCTGGAGTCTGCAGTCTGGAGTCTGGAGTCTGCAGTCTGGAGTCTGGAGTCTGGAGTCTGCAGTCTGTCTGTGGAGTTTGCATTCTGGAGCCTGGAGTCTGCAGTCTTGATTCTGGAGTTGGCAGTCTGGAGTCTGGAGTCTGCATCGGGAGTCTGGAGTTTGCAGTCTGGAGTCTGCAGTCTGGAGTCTGGAGTCTGCAGTCTGGAGTCTGCAGTTTGGAGTCTGGAGTTTGCACTCTGGAGCCTGGAGTTTGCAGTCTGGAGTCTGCAGTCTGGAGTCTGGAGTTTGCAGTCTGAAGTCTGCAGTCTGGAGTCTGCAGTCTGGAGTTTGGAGTTCGCAGTCCGGAGTCTGCAGTTTGGAGTCTGCAGTCTGGAGTCTGCAGTCTGGAGTCTGCAGCCTGGAGTCTGCAGTCTGGAGTCTGCAGTCTGGAGTCTGGAGTTTGCAGTCTGGAGTCTGCAGTTTGGAGTCTGCAGTCTGGAGTCTGCAGTCTGGAGTGTGGAGTTTGCAGTCAGCAGTCTGGATTCTGGAGCCTTGATTGAGTCTTGCAGCCTTTCATCCGCGCACTCACAATCCAAACATGCAAAAAATCGCAAAGGTGCCATCAGACCACCGCTTCAAGTGCCATCTCGAAATAAAAATCACGCCGAACAATTCCTGGGCGGACCAGCCGCCAGCGGACAACCGCTTCAAGTGCCATCTCGAAATGAAAATGAACGTGGCAAAAAAAGCTTGGCGGACCGGCCGCCAGCGGAACCACCGCTACAATGATATATCATCAAACGAGAAAAGCAAAATGGGCGGACCGGCCGCCGGCGGAGAAACCACCCCATGCGACTATATGAAGGCGGACCGGCCGCCAGCGGAGACACCGCTATAGAAACGATTATCGCACAACAAAATTAAACCGAGTCAATCAGTGCAAAAATGCTCCGGCTCCATCGAGCCAAGCGTGCGAAGCAGCGCGAACAAACAGCGTAAACTGCATGCGCGCGCGCGCCTGCCCTGCTGCGTTGAGTCACACGGAAATGTGTGATTTCCAGCGCGTAATGCTTCATCACTGCCATGCTTCAAAACGCATGTGTTTGCAAACTCAATGAACTTAGAATGAACTTAGCGGACTTAGAAAAACCTCTTTTCTAAGTTCAAGATAAGTTACTTATAAGTCCAAGCTAAGTGCTAAGTCACTTATAACTCCAGCGTAAGTACGACCCTATCCCAGCAGGCAGTACATGAAACCCTTCAAAACGGTAACCTTGCGCGTCCCTTGGGGCGCACTTGCGCGCTCCTTGCGCGCGCACAGCTTTCGACAACTTTTACTTCTCCCCGTTCGGCGAAAATTTAAACCGAAGACTGGGGTTTTAGGACGGCCCTCACATGGCCCTGGCGTATTCTCCTCGCCCCGCCTGTCTTGCCGGGCTTGCCGCTGGCAATGATCTGGCCCAGGTCCACCCCCATAACCCCAAGGGCCGCAGCACAGAGGGCGGCCTGGTAGACCAGGGAACGTTCTACCCAACCAGTAGGCACAGCCACCACAGAACTTGGTTGCTGCAACGACCCCCATGTTTTTTTTTCATTTTTTTGGGGGGGTTTACAATTGCTGCTACCCTAGATAGGTCCTCCAGATTTCAGAGGCTAGACAAAGTTGGTACCAACTTTTTCTGTAGTCGGTTTTAGAAGGGGAACCCTCCCAACCAAAAAAGGGGTGAGAAAGGGCACTACTGGGGGACCTAGTTACCCAACCAATAGGTATAGTCACCACACAATCCTCCATTTGCTTCAGTCCCCTGGAAAAATGGAAAAATGTCCAGTAATGATAGATTCCCTCTAAAAACCAACAGGGGAAAATAACAAATATTCATTTCAGCAAATGGAAGCCACACAATGATGAGTCCAATTCAGGTTGATTTGCTCTTGGACCAGGCGAGACGCCCGACGAAGAAGTACTAGAACCTTGCGGGTCAAGTCATGACCACTGGTCCTGGTGGGCCTCCGGTGTTCAAACGACCTAGGAACTGTCACAAGCAAACAATAGCTGTTGGTGGACTGTTAAGAATGGCGATATGTAGCCTATTCAGTACTGGCAGGTCGCAACTTGCTTCCCACAAGCCATCGTCAAACAATATAATCTACCAACCACCATGGGTTTCGCAACAGTTTTGCTAAACGTATGGAATGAACTGTGCAATACATTCACTTGCTCAAGCAACTTAGCAAGTAGTCAAGGAGCTAGAAAACGGCCTGGATGCCTTGTGTGCAGTTTGATACTCCCCTTGTTGGTACTGCTGATACTCTGTTTACTATTTTGATATTCTAGGGTGGATCCTCTGCTGCACCTTTCTACTGCTATTATCCTGGTCAAAAGCGATGGGCAACAAACAGGGGTTGCTTGACTTGTGGCAAGTAGGTACCGGGTTAGAACTTCCTTTGAACCCTGTCCGTGTAGGCAACCTAGTTGCAAAGGCCCTCATATCAGGCCCTGTCAAACATGCCAAACAAATTGGGAATTCCCTCCCCGCAAATGTGTATGTCCACATACACCCTTGGGCCCCACGTATGTCTACATGTGTGTTTCCTCAATATCGTGTCCTGTCCCTGTCCTAGAATTGGCCCAACTAGTAGCCTTTTCTTGAACCGACGGTTTCTAGTTGGCTCCGTCCCACAGGCTTCAACTTGTTTGCTCCGAAACCTTCCCAAGGTGTCAGCAGCATAGGCGTCGTTTTAGGGGAAATAGATGGCCCGGGTAGATGATTAAACCATCAGGTAAACCAGGGCCATCTAATTTTCGACCAAAACAACCAAAAAGGACGCCTATGATCAGCAGCTCCACGCGACTCGCGACGGTCGCGCCGAGGCACGCGGCTGTTGGCAACGTTTTGCCAGAACTCCTCGCTGCCGCCGCCGATATCTTTCGTGTGGCCCTCAACGGTGATGATGACTTTGAACATGTGCCACAGCTCCGCCACGTCCGCAAGGACTTCCTTAGCAGGCAATGAGCGCCAGGGGAAGGGGAAATACTGACGGGAAACCATTGCTTGTTGGTATTTACATTGGAATCATCGTTCCCAATCCGGGGGTCTGTTCCACCCCAAAAACCTGCCTTTCACAACCCCATCTCCGAGTCACCAGCAAAGCTCATCTTCCCCGGCGGGTCCCGGAGCTTTTTCCCGGAGTCAGAGAGCAGGTCAGTCGAATTTCCAAACATGAAGTAAACGCCAATTTTAGTAGGGGAACCCTCCCCCAAAAAGGGTAAATGGGCACTAGCAGGGGACCCAGAAAGTAATCGCCGCAGGCCGAAGAAGGATGCACGGTCCAAGTGGTTGTCTTGCACAGGCAACTGGGCAATCGACAGCTGCCCTGAAGACTGGGGCCGCCCTTGAAAACAATGCGGCGTGGGTCTTCACCAAACCAATGTTCAAAGGGTTTGGCTACAGGAAAGTCTACAGGAAGCCAGCTGATGTAGGGTGTCTTTCTTGGCCATTCCCTGCAGATGTTCCCGTCACCAAACCCTTTGAAATGTCAAGAAGGTCATGGGGTATAAGGGGTCAGCAACCGGCTCGAATCCAAGGCCGAAGAGGATCCCCCAAGCATCTCAGCTATCCATTCGACGGCCGCCAGAATTTAACCGTGGCCTCGATCCCACTCGACGGCCATCTCAGCTATTTCGATACAGGGTTCTTTTTTTGGACTACCTGCAAATAGACGGAAAAACCCAGGGGTTCCCTTTTTGGGGTACATGCCCCACCCCTGGGTTTAAGTCGACTTTGGGGGTAGTCAAAAAGTGGCACTCCGTGTCGAACTTTGGCCAAGGCTCATTGGCCTCTGCTGCATTCTCAAACTCCGCCGTGGGAGCTTCTCCGGGGTTCTTCTTCTTGAAGTTTATGGTGCGCTTCAGCTTGACATCTCCTGAAGACTCGACGGGGCATATCGCTCCATTTCGCCAAGCTCAGGAAGTTACACTTCGCAACCGCCCAAGACAACCAAAATGCAAGCATGGCAAGCTGTCCAAACAATTCTTCGAACGAGACCCAAAAAGACGTCACAGCATGTTGTAGGCGCCTCAGTCTCAACCACGACTAGTTATATCAGCTTCCCTCTTGGTTGGGATTGGTGGTTTGGATTGCACTGGGCATCTGGTCATGGCTGTGGGAAATAGTTGCCTTGTCTTTTTTTGTACGACCCTTTCTGTGATAATGTTACCCTTCTGTGATACCAACGTGGGATTGCCATCCCTATGCTTTGCCACTTTCCTTAGTACAGCATCTGAGTCATAATCAAAACCTGGTACAAAAATGGTGAACCCAGAACCATGTAAATATGTAAAGAACTAAGAAGGCGGATATCCGAAACTATTTCCGGCTGGGACTGCCCCTTACTAACCTTCACCAATCCCCGTGTTTTGAGCACGTGGCTCATCTTTTTCCAAACGGTTCTGTGATACCGTCACCCTTCTGTGATACCAACCCTTTGGATTGCCATCCCCATGCTTTGTCACTTTCCGCTCAGTTGTTCAGTGACCCTGAAAAAAAACACACTTTTTGTGGGGCAGCCACCAAAAAGAAAAGGGGAGAAGGAACACGGGTGCCACTGAACTGAGTTAGTATCGCAGCTGGCGGCCATGGCTCCGTTGGCCAAGTTGATGTCCATGTTGCCTTTCCGCGTGATCTCGCTGACCCGGTGGAGCTGCTGAAGCAGCGTGGGCTGCGTATTCACCACGCCTGACGCCGACGCGTCGGTGGGATCGGCGAGCCGCCATCGCCGAAATCGCACAAAGTGGGATCCCCAACAGCCACCTGTGGCTCAAAGAGCTAGGGTTACGCAGGTTTTAGTCTTTGGTTCCATTTACCAGGGTGCCATTTTAGTGCATGTTTTTGAGCCACCGAATCGCCGAAATCGCCAAATCTCTTGGTTGACCTTGGAAGGGGAGCAACATTTTTCAAATTTTAGCAATTAAGTGAATTTGGACTTCAACCACTCAACCACAATGAGCAAAAGTGGAAAACATGTTTCGCAACAACCATGTTCCGAGGTATCCCCGACAGCCACCTCCGAACCTTTCTGGAACACTGGCCCAGGGCCGCTCCAAACCAAACCCTTCCCCCCATTCATAGTTCAGCCTATTACAATAACAAGCACGTTTTTTCCCAAACCGACGGGTCCCCAATACTACTTTCCTTGCCTCGACCAACCCAGCCTTCTTGGGGGGGTAGATATAGCACCAGCCCCCTTGTCGGAATTCACCAGTTTAAACTGCCAAGCTCAACTTGTCCTTTAGGGTTCGCAGCTGCAACCAACTGAACAAGCAACAAGGTTTATTCATAGGGGCCGGGGAAGGGAGGGGCCTCTGGGGGTATCGATTTCTTTGGGGAAGGGATCACTCGAAGGGAACGATCCGAGTGCTCTGGGCAGCCCTCCGCCCGTCCCGAGGCTTCAGCGCGAGGAGCTGTCAGATATCACCTCCAGCTTCTGAAAGATGGCCTTGGAACAAGCAACGCATGGATATGCCAGGGTCACGTGCGCTAGGCCCTCCAGATTTCAGAGGCTAGAAGAAGTTGGCACCCCACTTGTTGCTGGTTTGTCGATTTTGGTAGGGGAACCCTCCCAACCAACAAAGTTGGTAAAAGGGCACTCCTGGGGGACCTAAGCGCATTGCATCCTCTGCTTCACTTTCGAATGCGACACCTCTGAGCTGGCTGCATCAAACTTCTTGTTCAGCTCATCCATCTCCTCAAACAAAGCGGCTGGCGCGCCACCAGGATTCAGTTTCCCAACAAGAACTCGGCACTGCGGCATGTTGCATGGGGCCAAAGAAAGGCCAGAATGCGTCTCCTTACACACGCCCTATGTCAATGCCACGTGTGCACTTCAATGCTACCGGTTTTATCACAATCCTCCAGCCAAATGCTACCGGTTTTATCCTTTCAGCTTCTTTCAACACCAGCCAAAAGGCGGTGCTCAAAGACCCTGCCCAGGTGGTATCCCCAGCAACCACTGGAACACTCCCGGAAGCCCCGCGGCTCCGGGCCGAACCCCATCCACCCGCTCCAAAGCACCCAAAGAACCCCTCCGAAACCCAGCGGAACCCCACCATACCTGGCTTGACGTTGGAAGGGGAGCAGAAATCTAAATGTTAGCACTTCAGTGGGGATTCCCACTAAACCACAACAAGCAAAAATGTAAAATGCTTCCCAACAACAACCATGAGACCACCGGGAAGCCAATAAATACATAACTCTTTCACGGAACCCTCCGGAACCTTATCCAGCAAAACCTTGCGAGATCCTTCGGATTCCTGGTTTTCCCCGATCCAACCACCACCTTCCGTTCTCCATCCAGCAACAGAAGCTTGCTCCACCGGAACGGAACCTTACCTCAGAGCACTCCGGCGCTTGCTTATCTGCGTAGATTGAAGCTGTGGGGGGGGGGGGGGCGCCAAAAAAGCCATGAGATCGTGTGCACCACATGGCCTTTCTTTCCGACGGACCCAACAATAGCGTCGCATCGAGGGACCCTTGGTCATATTGCCATTGCTTGCGCCCGTCTCTTACATGCGTGTCCACCGGTCTTTGGGGTGGGTAAAACGAATGGGCTCTACGAACATTCAAGAACTCAACCGATCGGCGGGTATGTTTATGCCAATTGGCATGTAAATTCCTTTCGGTTCCCTGCAAAACGACTTGAGAAAGGCCTGGAAAAGAGGCATCCATCACGCGTATTGGGCTCCTCCTGCAAGCCTTCCTGCAGCTCATCCTGGAGCTCCGACATGTGAGCCTCCATGTTCATCTTTTTCCTGACGGATACTAGGTCCTCCAGTAGAGAGGTTAGAATAAGTTGGCACGAACTTTTTGCTGTAGTCCATTTTAGAAGGGGGTTTCCTCCCAACCAAAAAAGGGGTGAGAGAAAGGGCACTTGGCTGAGGGACCTCGGATACTCCGAGGACCCGATCGGCCCAAACTTGAAGTTCCAGCAGGAATGAGGCTCAGCGTTGGTAGCTTTGGGCTTAGTCGACTGCTCGGTGCAAGCCTGAAACAACGACACGGCAAAGCAGGGTTCTGGGTACCAGGGGGTCCTTCCCACAATACCAAGGAGCCTTTCATTTTGAGTGAAGAATTAATCGTTGCCTTCCAGTGATGGAGGGGTCACAAAACCCTGATTCAGCAACAACAACAAAAAAGTCCGGGTCATATCCTAAAAGAAATCTTGGGTGGTGTTGGGTTCGCCAACACCCTCTCTGAGGTCGATTGCTCACTCCTTACCAATTAAGGGCATCGATGCCTCCCAAAAAGAAACAACAGGCTAGATCCGGGATGGTTGCGCAGCCTTGAGGCTGGAGCTGAATTGGAAGGAGCCCGGGGACTCAAAAAAGAAAACAAAACTAAAAAAACAGTTCCGCCTGAAAGGGTTTGGGGGACACTAACCACATGGTGAGTCTGGTTCCCCTTCCCCCCCAAACGGGTACCCTCTCAAAAGCCATCGCCAATTTGAGCTGCTTGGATCTTCGATGGGATCGAGCGGCTGCTGGCTCTCCATGAGCTCTTCTTCCAAAGCCAGGCGCTCCGCGTTGCTGTGCTCCTCACGCGTCGCAATCGGATCGTCCCACCAACCAACCAACCAACCAACCAACCAACCAACCAACCAACCAACCAACCAACCAACCAACCAACCAACCAACCAACCAACCAACCAACCAACCAACCAACCAGGGGACCAGCCTTAGTTACAAAAAAAAACAGCCCTAGGAAAAACAAAAACAGATCCATCGCATCGAACCCCCCAATAAACGGCTTCGCATGTCCCTTTGGTTTCAGCTTTCCAACCTGGACAAGTCACCCAGTCCACACATTGCACCAGCCGATGGATGGATGAAGCCCAGAGTACAGGCTGGTCCCCCCCCAACAAAAAAGCGGTAAGTGTTGCCAGCTAACCAGGTAACTCCTGCCAATCTAGGCTTGCAGGTTGGTTTAAAGTGGACATCAGCATTCCCCCCCCAAATGGCCGCGGCTCATGTCTTCCGCGGAAAACACAGACGCCTCCGAGGTTTGAATGTGACTGGACCAGGACCCAAGACTTAGACTTGGCAAACTCACCGAGTGCATCGGATGGCACAATTCCCGGTAGATCAGATGCGGGTGTCTCTATTTTAAGACCCCTCATGGTGGTATTCCTTTGGGTTCCCTTGAAAACAACAAACAAAACTGGTACACACCCAGTTTAGCAAGCGGATGACCAAAGCATGGGTTGGAATTGTCCTGGGGATACCTTCCATGTCCATTCTTTCCTGTGATCCTTCTTTCTAGAAAACCTCCGTAAACCCACGGCAAACGGATCCGGTTTTTGGAAAGAACGACGGTTGAAAAGAATGGGAAAGGAATCAACCCCTGGAATATTGGGATAAACCACCTACCGACGGCTGCGAAGTGCGTGGGTCAGTCCACGGGAAACATCAACCCCTGGAGTTGTGCCATGTAACTCCCTCATTCCAACCATCGTTCTTTTCACAAACCGGCTGTTTCCCCTGGGTTTTTGGATGGTTTCCTGACAAGATTCGGATCCCTGGAAGAATGTGGAAGTGGGTCAAAACCCCGTACCCCCAGTGAACATCCCCATCCCCACTAAAATAAAGCCTAAAAATGGATATTGAATTCACCTACCAAGCAACCTGGGAAATGAACCCCTAGAAATCTGCCACGTAACTCCTGTAATTTGCTTAAGCCCCCTGGAAAAAAACAAAACAAAAAACAAAAAGCATATCCAGTAGTGAAATCGATTCCCTTTAAAACCAACAGGGTCAAATAAACAAACTATTCATTTCTGCAAATGGAAGCTAGACTTGTGCCATGCAACCTCTCCGGCTCTCTCCGGCCCCTCCGGCCTTGCTCAGCTCCTCTTGCAAAGCCGCCACCTTCTCCACCGCCTCTAGCGCCTCAAGCCGAGCCTTCTCCTGCGCGTGGGCCAATTGGCTGTGGTCAAAAATGGGTACCCAAAACGGAACCCTAAATGGAACCAAAAGGATTAAATGGAACCCTAAATGGAACCCTAAATGGTTAAACCACTAAGGATTAAATGGCTGTGGCTCAAAAATGGGTATCCAAATGTGCGTGACAAAAACCAACGCCAACATTTGGTCGGTCCGAATCCACAAGCTACTCAAAGGCATGGAATCAAATGGCTGTGGGTCAAAAATGGGTACCCAAATGGAACCCTGGTAAAATGGAACCAAGGACTAAAACCTGCGGTCCATATCCTGGTGCTTTGTTGCCCCATACCCAATTGCACAAATGCTAGGGGAAACTAAACCTTGGTTGACGTTGGAAGGGGAGCAAATATCTTCAAATTTTAGCTGTTAAGTGGTTGGATTTCAAGCACGAAACTGCAATAAGCAAAAATGGAAAATGTTTCCCAACAACACCCATGAAACAAGCCACCCTCTTTTTGGGTTCCTTTTGACACAAACTCCAATTCTGGGTTCGTTGGCGCCCTGGGTTTACTGTGGTTTTCCTTGTGGTTTTCACCAACTTCATTTCCCGTCTGATCAAATGCCCAGTGGTTGGTTCTTCGTTTCCTGGGACACCCTGAACAGCAACCCCACAAGGACAGGGTTTACTCCAAGCTTTGGCAATCACCTAACCCTGCAGCCAAACGAAACATGCGGACATCTCCGGGCGGTTTCTTGGCCCAGCTAAAAGGAGAGGGCCGATTGGTGCCCCAAGGAAAGGGGGGGACCATGTATATTAACATATATATATATATGCATGCACATGAATGTAAACAAACACAGAACAATTATGTAGACCTGCATTTGCGCAAGAAACAAGTGTAAACATAAACATGATTGCTCATGTATATATATATATATATATATCACGGGGGTGACCATATAAACATGTACATATTATATATATATATATATGTACACCTATGTTTAGATGGACACACATACATCATACGGATTTAGTGTCCCATGCAAATGCCATGTCTCAATCAATGGTGCCGCACATTGATCACACTGTAGTGCACACGCTGCACTGCATTTCATGGCATTCTCGATTCCGATCTGTGTCGCCATGCGATACATGACAAACCATATATGCACACATTCATCAGTTTCATTCCTACATACCTACACACATACTAGAATTGCAACATATTGCATTACATTCCATTACATTGCATCCCACTACATCGCACTATATGTTATTGCATTACATTGCATTACAGTACATTACACTAAGTTAAACCATATTGCATTACAATACTTCCCATTCCATAGATATGCACGCACATGCCAAACTGTACTAATGTGTGTGCACACGTCCGTACACGCATGCACCACGCTCTACAAATACACTATCATGTGCCTTTATGTTGTGTATTTCAGCGTTTATCCATGTATTATTCAGTTGTTTCATTAATTGTTTGCTTGGTTCGTTGATTGATTGACTGATTGATTGATTGGTTGATTGATTGATTGATTGGTTGGTTGATTAATTGATTGATTGATTAGTTGGTTGGTTGGTTGGTTGATTGATTGATTGATTGATTGATTGATTGATTGATTGATTGACTGACTGATCGATTGACTGGTTTACTTATTTATTGATTGACTGACTCATTGATTGACTGGTTTATCTATTTATTTATTGATTGATTGATTGATTGATTGACTGATTTATTTATTTATTGATGGATGGATGGATGGATGGATTGATGAATTGATGGATTGATGGATTGATTCTATTGGTTTGTTTGTTTGCTTGCTTGCTTGTTTTGTTTCTTTATCTTATACAAATGTAAGGGCTGGTCTCATCTGTTCGGAGCATGGTCAATGACCATCTATGCCGTTTGGAGAGCCGCTCAAACATGTCTTTGAGGTCCGGACTTTCATGCGCACGGCGCATCGCACATGGAAGGCAGGGTTGGACCCCCTGTTTCAACATGTGGACCACCTGTTTCAACACGATTGAATCAGTAGTGCGTGGCTCGAGAATTCGGACCGCAAATAGTGCCAGTTCTTCTTTCTTAACAAAATGAGGCTTGGGTCAGGCCTGCTCGTCTTTGATGGCTTGCTGGTTGGCCTGAATGTGGCTCTTGTTCTCCTCTATGATTCCTTGGGAAGGAAGAAAGCTAAGGCTCGTCGCACCAGAAGATGCACACCAAGCGTCTTTTGTTTGCGTTGATCGTTTCGGCATTTGATTGAATCATCTTCCTCAGCTGGACAGAGGCAAGAACTTGCAGCTCTCATCCCACAGGTCCCACAGGCAGGCCTCGGCCCATGTGACGGCACATGCAACATGTGCGTCCGAGCATCTTGTTGTGGATAATTTGGTCCCAGGTGGCATCCAACTTAGAGGTATTGCCTCAGCGATGAATGTCAAGTCTCCAATTCACATGCACATCGTACAAACGCACTGCCAGATTCATGAGGAGCGGTTCTCCGATGATAAGGTCAATCACATATCCCAAATCGTTCATGCCTTCCTGCTCTGCGATCAGTCTGTTGTAGAACGATCATTCATGTAGCTGCCCGATGCCTTGGCCTTTTGTAAAATTATGTCGAGCATACACTAACACTCATCTTGGTTGACGTTGGAAGGGGAGCAACAATTTAAATTTTAGCAGTTAAGTGGGGATTTCAACCACTAAACCACAGTAAGCAAAAATGGAAAATGTTTCCCGACGACTTCCATGTCATGTGCTCGCCGTAGTCCAAACCCTGCCACAGCCCCCACTTCCACCGGCCTCACATTTGTTTCCCGAAGAGATGAGGCATGAGTCCAAGACAACATGAGCAAGACAAATCCCCGAAAACCAGGGCTTAAGTTTACCCCCCCCCCCAATTTGTAACTAAATCCCAAGGGTCCGAGTTCCCCAGAAGGTACTTAAAACCTCGTTCAACCTCCGGAAAGAAAAGAAGCAACCAACCTCAAGTGGTACTTGGACTCTCTGGGAACCTCTTCAAATGGCAACCAGGAGTCCCTATAACTTGTAACCCCCAGTTATACTCCCAAACATCTGGGCATCTTCAAACACTGGTCGCTTTCACTTGGCTTTTGAAAGCGGTTCTTTGGGGCAAGCCCTTCGTTTCGGAGAAACACAACAACATATACGCTTCAAGCAAGAGAAAAAACAAAAAAAACATGCAAGAAACAAAAAAAACAAAAAACAAGTCCAACCCCTGCGACATTGAATCCGCTCTCCGAGTCGGCTCGAGGGCTCGAAGGATCGAAAGCTCCGAGGCGCTCATGAGCAGCTCCTTGGAGGAGCGCGAGAGCTGCAGCAGCTCATCCAGCTCGTTGCTGCTGAGCCCCATGCGGTGCTCATCGAAGTCCTTCCTACGGCCGAGGCGCAAGGGGGGCCTTTGCGCGTAAGGGGACCCCCACCCCAAAAAATAGTGTGGTCTGTCCCTGGTGGTTTTCCGTCTAAACCACCAAAGAAGGGGGTACCCTGAATTGCTTGGTTTGATGTGGGAAGGGGAGGACAATAAATTGAATTCTAGCAGGTAAGTGGGGATTTCAACCACTAAACCACAAGAAGCGAAAGATGTGAAATGTTTCCCAACAACAACCATGATGAGGGTTGCGCGTGAAAAGCTGAGCTTCGAATGTTGGAGGAAGCCCTGGGAAGAACAAAAATGCGTTGCTTGGCCAGTTCCCTCGAAAGCACTTTAAAAGAGGGATCCTTGCATTACACACCTGAACATTGCAACTTGTAAATGGTGGTGTCCCGTTATTTTGGTGTTGAAAAAGCTACGTGTTTGAAATTGTTGCAAAATGGAGATTTCTTTTAAGGAGCCCTGTAAAAGAGGATGCGTTTCTCCCCTGACGGCTTTTGTGGTCGATGGCCAAAGCCCGGGTTCCAGGGTGTTGGGAATGCCACCTGGGCTTATAGGTTTGGACCGATTCAGGCATCTCTGTATCAAAATAGACCCATGTCCATGGAGGGAACTGATTTTCAGGGCGGCGGCCGCGCGGCCCATTCCACAGCCGTTGCGCGAGGAGTCATCAGCTGGTTGATTTGGTGGCGGGGTGTCCCAGTCTAAATTCGAAACCTTCGCTTTTTGAAGTGCAATAATTGGTGGAATCTAAAGTTCCCGGAACAGAAATCAGCTTCATCTTTCCCGCTTTCCCTGCATGCGGGGGGGAGGGGGGGGCGGTGGGCGGCATGCATATCTTCAAGAAGGCAGTCGAAAACGCATTGTTCCTTCTGGAAGGGGATGCCTCTGTTTGGCTGTTTTAGTGAAAGGGAAACCAAAGCAAGAAGTCGAAGCCCATTTTGTCGGATCCAGAACTTGAGACACACAGGCAGAGGGTGGAAGTTCCAAGCAGGGGTCCGGTTTTTTAGGCTTCGCAGGCTTTGGCATCAACATGTGGACATGGGTCAAAATCCCGTACCGCCAGTGAACATCCCAATCCAACCACTAAAATGGACTAAAATGGGTGGTGCACCTACCCAAAATGCGATCCCAAAACAATTTTGACCCACAGCCATGTATCGACCTGGGAGTACTTGGAAGTAGGCAGGTGTTTTATTTGTTTGGATTGCCCGCTCTGTTACCAATGGACAAAGTTTGGGTGTGTCTTTTTTGGGAAACCCCCTTTTGCTGTCTTTAGGGGGCAGCCGAAAGGGAAACCATCAGTTTGGGGTTCCCTAATATGAAAACAAAGCCTGGGTTCATTCACCTGGGAACTGACGCGCCTGTTCGCCAGCGTGAGGCCGACCATCCGCGTAGAATTCTCGTGGATCCGCGTCAGCTGTTCCCTCGGTGAAATGGCAACATGGGCGAGCAACGCGACCGAGCTCTAGCAGGACTCCCGCCAATCTTTCTATACGCATCCTTCCGACCAAAGCAAAGCGCCAAACACCGAGGTAAGTTGGGTGATTCTTGGTGTTGCAGTCCTGGCCCTGTAAAAAAAACAGCTTCTTCGTGTTTGGCCGGGTTCTGTGGACAAAAAATATACCAAACATCAGCGGCTTCAGTTGAACATCCTTTCTGGAGTCGTGTCGGCCAGACCCTTCCCACCATTTGAATGGCTCGCCCACCCGACAAGCTATTCGAATGATTCGCGCGCCTCAGGGAAGCAACCTCAGAGGCCACAATCTCCCGCATTTCCTCCTGAGAGAAAAAGCCGGGCTCCTTTCCCAACCAGTCCTTGGTCAACTTTCAACCCTAAACCTAGCATCTATGTTGTTTCATTTGCTGATGCTAGTCAGTGGCAAAGATGTAAGACACTCAACGCTGACCCACTCGAGCACTGGAAAGTACCTCAAGCCTCAGTCCCCTTTGGGAAAATCACCTATGTTCTCCCAGACTGAAACGCAAACACCTGTGGCTCCCTCAATCTTCCCATGTACACATCACCCCAAAATGAAACCCGCCAGTGGTCTTTCCGAAAGGGAATCTGCCAAACTGAAGCCTGCCAGTGACACCTCGGACCTCTTTGAATGTGGATCCATCGATTTTCAACCTAAACAACCTTAGTGGAGCGTCGATCCCCTGTCGAAACTTAACCTCCGAGATGATGCGTAACTCTTCGAAACTCTAAACGTCTAAACGTCTATACAAGTCTCAGGGTGTTACTGGGAACCAGTAAGAAAAGACGATGTGCCAGGGTCATCACTGATGTGAGACCGTGGTCATGTGTTTTACATCCTTTTGATCCATGACCATACCTACCTGGGATGGACAAACTCCTACAGTTGCTAGGCGTTCTATCGCAGTTTTCCACATCATGTGTTCATGCATCCCAGCTGGTGTGTTTTGTGGATGTAACCATCCATCGTGATCCCAAGAACACATGCCACTTGACTTCCATTTGGTTAAGACCCCTGGAAAAAATGACAAAATATGTCCAGCAGTGAGAAATTCCTTTAAAAACCCGGGGAAAACAACATATTCATTTCAGAAACATGTTGAGTGAGACGATTCTGTCCTGCAGGCTGCTACGCAGCTCGCCTACAGCCACCTCCATGAGGCCGGACAACTCTGAGATTGGCGGCACCTCAGTGCCGCGGTCATTGGTGGTTGAGTGCCCGATTTACAGCTGAGCGGCCACGGTTCAAAACCAATGGGATACCATTTTGGGATAGGTGAATTCACCACCCATTTTGGATCCTACTTTAGTGGGGATTGGGATGTTCCCCCTTGTTATTTCCCCCATTTTGGGATAGGTGCACCACCCTTTTTAGAACCGATTTGAGTGGGGAGTGGGATGTTCCCCCTTGTTATTTCCCCCATTTTGGGGTAGGTGAATTCACCACCCATTTTAGAACCTATTTTAGTGGTTGGATTGGGATGTTCCCCCTTGTTATTTCCCCCATTTTGGCGTAGGTGAATTCACCACCCATTTTAGAACCTATTTTAGTGGTTGGATTGGGATGTTCACTGGGGGTACGGGGTTTTGGCCCATGGCCGAGTGACTTGCTCAAAACCGATCGGTATTAAAATGGCAGTCCCAGAACCATGCTTCAACGTGGGATTGCCATCCCTATGCTTTGTCACTTTCCTTAGTACAGCATCTGAGTCATAATCAAAACCTGGTAGAAAATGGTGAACCCAGAACCATGCTTCAAGGATTAAGAAGGCGGAAATTTCCGCAACTATTTATGGCTGGGACTGTCCCTTACTAACCTTCACTTACACGGGTTTTGAGCACTTAGCTCAGCTGACTTGTGCTTCGAACATGGGTGGCAAAGGTTTTAGGAAGAGCTCTACCCTGTTTTCCCAAATGAATCCAGGTAGAACCGTCTACTAAAATGGCCCTGTTTGGGGTTTTGACACACTCCCCCCTCCGACGATCTATCTCTGTAGCATAGTTTGTAGTCAAAAAAGGTAACCACCTATGTGGGAACTTATTCATATCCACTTACCTTGCAAGTAACTTTGATGAAAATCCTGATTGGATTGGAACACCTACTTACATTGCAATTTACTTTGATTGAACGTTTTTAACTTAGTCCTACATCAAAGAGGTCACTTAGGCCATTTAAAGGGCACTTAGATCCTCAGGGTTGCCCCCCAGCAGATCCCTCCCCAGTCCGGGCAAATCGAGCCGCAGCGACACGTGAGTCACGTGAGTGCGAATGACACTCACACGGCGGGGGAACCCGAAGCTGGGCAAATCGAGCCGCAGCGAAACGCGAATGACACTCACGCAGGGGGGACCGACACTAGCGTAAGTGGTAAGTGACCTCGATTTGCACCCCCACTGACACTCAAATGACACGCTTTGACACTCAAAACGCCATGTTCGGGCCATTCCGGGTCAGCCCCAATCAAACGTGGCAGTTGACGGGTAGCTGTTCGATTTCAACAGGATCCCAACCCCTATCAAGCCAAAAAGGGCACTTAGCAAACTAATCAAGGGGCACTTAGGGCACTGATAAGGCCTCAAGTGGCCTCGATTCAAAAACACGATAGGTGCATTTGGTTGAAGAGCACTAAAAGTATGCTGGCACACTTGCATTCTAAATAACACAGTAATTGACTTGCTTTCCTTGTTAAGTTTTATTCATGGACCGGGTATCTTATTTAAATTATAATTGAATATAGAAATCCAGTCGAACTCTTTCCTTGTTAAACTCTGCGCACATTGTACTAGGTAATGATAACTTCACATCATATGTGGAAAGGAATCCCCCCTTGAATTATCATTCAAGATAGAAATGATACTTGAACTCTTACCTTATTAAGCTCTATTTCAGTTCTAATTCAACTTGAGTTGGAATCCAACTTGGTATAAGTTGCATTTCTACTTAAAGGAGCTTCATAAGGAGATTCAACAGAGCTTCACAAGCATGTTTTACACGAAATTGTACAAGGAGCCTCAAACGGAGCCTTGAAGCGAGCTTTATGAAGGGTGGTTCAAGGAGCTTGCTACGGAGCTTTGCTCTACTGGGGGCGGGTGGCATTTCTAAACACATATATATATATAAGTGAAGTGTAGGAAACGACCCGGCAATCTCTTTAAGGGGAAGAAACGGGACACCAGAAAACACCGCGATATGTCTGCTCCCCTGCTAAAAGTTGTTGTTTTCTTGTTTTCAAATTACTTTTAGTGGTTTAATCCGGAAAACCCACAAATTCGTTGGCAACGACGTTCTTCAGTCCGAACATCCCTTGGCAAAATTCGCAGACAGACACCGCCCGGGAAAAAAGAAAAGTCGGCGAGCGGAGCGAGGGCTGAGGTCCGGGCCAGGGAGTGCAGCTGTTTCACCTCCTTCGTTGGCTTGGGGCTTGGACTCTGAGACTTAGGGGTGGGTGTGGGTGGGTGGGTGTTAGCTTATCCAGAGGGATTTACTGGCACCTGATGGCCATTTTGGGGAGGGTAAAAAAGGGGTCCAACTTGGTATTGGAAAAGCTACTAGACTTGGACCTTCGGGGCCAATGGGCCTTCCCTTGACGTGGTTTCCTCATTGTACCTGGAAAAAGGGCTCCACGTCCATTTGGGGCGTGCCTTCTGTCTGTTTTTCTTTTGATTTGTTTTCCGTGGTTTGCCTTAGTTCTAGGGCTTGATTCCTTGTCCATTCTTTTCAACCATCGTTCTTTTCAAAAACCGGGTCCGTTTCCCCTGAGTTTTCGATGGTTTCCTGAAAAGAAGGATCCCTGGAAAGAATGGGGAAGTTAACCCCACCCCACAACCCTAAAAAACGAGCCACCCCAGGTTTTAGGTGGCCAACAAGTGGCTCATCTTTCTTTTTGGAACTCAGCCATCTCAATAACACATGCCATACAACCGCGGAACAAAAATCCGTTCAAAGCATCCGCAGCCAGAACCAAACACCCTTCAGATACGGAGGTTTGGTTCACCTTCCCAACTACCCTGGGTCTGTGCAAGGCCAACTAACCAAGAGGAAAGTCGTCTTTCAGGGGCCCGAAAGCACCAAGCCATACTAGCTGATAGGGTTCATGGGTTGAGCCGCTACTCTTTGGACTTCGCTTTCCCAGGAGCCAGAGCAGGGATTACATTATACACCTGAACATTGCAACTTGCAAATGCTGGGTTTCCGACTTTATTTTGTGGAAAAAGAGCCACATGCTTTTTCCAATGGTTGCAAAAAATGGATGTATTTCTTTTGAGGAGCCCTGCAGAGGTTTCCCTGAAACGACCCCTAGGTCCTTGCGGCACTGCTGGGTGGTCTCCGCCACGCCCCGCAAAGTCTGGTTGAAGCTCCGCCTGGAAGCCGACGTGGCCGTGGGGCCGTGAGCGTTTCCCGGAGCACGCTGATGGGCAGAGCGGGGTGAAACAACCAAAAGAAGCGGCGAAAGCACAAAGCAAGGGAGGTACCTAGGTCCAGATTTGAGAGGAGTTAGAATGAGAGTACCAACTCTTTTTCGGTTTTGTCTATTTTAGTAGGGGAAACCTCCCCCCAAAAGGGTAAAAGGGCAATAGTGGGGGACCTAGGTACCCTTCAGACTTTCAGACTCAAAACCAACAAAAAGGGCGTCAATTGACGCTTTGAACAGAACATCTGGCCATTCGCTCAGCCCTTGTAGGCCATACTCCGTGAGTTTTATGCTCCTGTAACTATGTAAATCCTTGCGTTTCAAGGTTGGGCCAGCCACTTGCATGTTTAACCCAATAAGGATTACATCAACTTTCGGTATCTCCAAGGTGCAACCGGCTCCATTTCTGTTTTGTGGCTTCACAAGAGAAACCCTATGGGCTCGGCCGATCCGTCGGCCGGCTTGCTGCGCAAGCCACATCTGCGAAACCTCGCGCAGGAGGTGGTCGAACTTCCCGGCGAACCTTCGAGGTGTCAGCACTCTGGCTCCATGGTGTGAAGTTTCCTTGGGGAACTCCTTGGGTTGAATGGAAACCAAACAGAAACCGATCAATTTGGAGCTTCCCCAATTTTGAGAACCCATACGATCGTCAGTTTGAATTAGGGAGACTCAGGTAACCATTGAGGGGCTTCCATTTCACAGTTCATAGTCATGTGGCTGAGGCATTCGTAACATGTGCTTATTGCATCACCCTCGGTTGAGTGAATCCACATTGGTATTGGAAGAAATGAAAGCATAGTAAAGCGAACGCACTGGTCTTCATGTTCTTGCAGGGAGGGAAATTCACAGAATACTTCTTGAAGAGCCAGGGCGAAGTGCAATTTATAATTTTCGTCCCTGTTGTGCCAGGGAACGATCCTTGCTCGAGCTGCTTCTGTCTCAGATCCGCGTTCAGCCGCAAAAGCTCCTGGCAGAAGAACTGGATCGAATTGAGCCGGCTTGGCAAAAATATATATAAATATGACTTTTGGCAAAGGAACGCCAACCCAACTTACGGGTCACGCGCACACACACACACACACAACCACACACACACACACACAGAACCACACACGCACACACGTGTGCCATCGTCAAAACTCGTGGGGGGGGGGGGGTTGATCATGGTTCACCTTGATGGGACACCTTGCAATGGTTTTCTATCTTCTCTATGACAGGGTTCATTGCACACCCTAGTAAGCAAGCAAAGCAGTGCTGCGACCACAGCACTGATGCGTGGCTGACAAAAGTATTGGGTGCTTTTGGTGCTGCGCATGAAAGCGCATTCTTCACCATGGCACACATGCTCGAGTCAGCACCCCGTGAGAAATTCGAGCAAAAAGGTGTCAACAGTCAGAAGCGGAAGCACCAACCAACCAACCAACCAAGCAGCCCTAGCAACCCTAGCAACCCTAGCAACCCTAGCAAAGCAACCCAGCAACCACAGCAACCAAAGCAACCCCAGCAACCCCGGCAACCCCAGCAACCTAAGCAAAGCAACCCGAGCAACCCGAGCAAGCAAGCCAGCCAGCAAGCAAGCCACCCACAGGCCGGCTGATCCGCCCGCCACCAAACCCCAAACAACTGACACAAAGAAACAACAAACCAAACCAAACCAAACGAAACCAAAAACACATACAGCAAACCAAACAACACAACAACAAAAACACATACAGCAAAAAACAAACAAAAAGACAAGCTTCGCCGCCACGATGCAACAAGCCCTCGCAATCTCTCGTTCCTCACAGTGAGATCGCAGCCGCTCACACTCACCGGGATATCCCGGGTCCGGCCCTGAGTCGACTGAGCCCCCCTCCCCCCCAGGCATGGGGACCTAGTCATACTGTGGATGTTGGCGAAATCCGCTTCTCGCACCACGAAATGAAGCCACGGTTGGAACCATAGCGTTTGCTTGGTGTTTACAAGAGAATCATCAATCCAGGGTTTCTTAGGTGGTGCAGGATGTCGTCCATCCACAGTAGCACACCCGTTGCTCAAGAAGGCAAGCCCCCATGGGTACATCTCAGAGTCAAAGACCTCATATGGTTGGTTTCACTTTTGATCCCCTTGAAGCATTCCCAAAAGGAATTCCCGATTTTGAGATGAACCCTCATGTGCTCATCAAGTTTTGTAAGGGTTGATTCCTCATTCTTTTCTCTCATGCTTCTGTTCAGACGCTTTGGCCACATGTCCGAACAGGATCCTGATCAAAATGGTGACGATACTGCTAGATGCTTCCCTCACTTGTGATACCGATTCAGAGATAGCAAGGCGAGCCGCGAACATGTAGTGCCCATGATCCGCACTTGCTGGGCCTTAAGAGTCACTAGTAGTCACTGGTAGCCTGAAGTGGCTCCTCTTGGCGCGGCTCGCATTTTTTGTTTGTTTGTTCCCTTTTAATTCCCGCCCGCGGCCATATCTTTGCCAAAAGGCGTGCGAGACTGAGCTCATCTTCAGTCAACATGCGGCGCGAGCCCGCCTTCACGTCCTGAACAACAAGCATAGGTTAGTCAGAGCCCCGTGTTGGGCGGAGTTTCCAGGTTTCCAAGAGCGTTTCATGAGGTTCTCCAAACAAAAGAGAGCTTGGGATTCCGATTGCCGGGTGTCAACCCTTGAACGGCAGATTGTCAGTGGATTCTTATCAACCCCGCAAATGGACTATGAAAGGGTCTCATCGCTCCATCAGGCGATTTTTGCTCTTTTAGGATGATCGATTTGTAGAGCCCCATGGCATCCCATAGCGGTCTAGTCTTTGGGCTCGCAAAAGCTGTTTGAAAAGAGGAAAGTTGAAAAACAAAAAAGCAAATGCTGTAGATCCATCAAATGGCAACTGTTGCGGTTGCGTGTGCAACTGTCAACCCTGGCGGGTTGTTCAAAGACAAACAAACACAAATCGATCCGTACGGACCGCATCGCCTGCACCACATCCCCCCTCACATGTTAGCCTGGCTTTGGCAGTCCGCTGGCAAATCAGAAACCACACATTTTTGGGACCCTTCTGGCTCGCCTAAGTTACAAGGCGTCCACGTGCCTCCAGAGGCTCCGATCTGAGCTTCTCTGGAGGATCCGATCTGGGCGGAGGCTCCGATCTGAGCTTCACCTCAGTCCAAAGCGAGACTTGCATCGTTTTCAAAAACCCGAAAGGGAACCGCAAGGAAAGGAACACTGCAACACGACTATTCGCTCGTTTTGCCCCCGAATCGGTGGAATCGATCGCCATATTCAACTTGCACCCAAAGGAAACCAACCTATCGGCCTGAAAGGCAGGAAGCCTGGCTTCCTGGGCCAAGAAAACCCAAGGCAACTCAAAAGCCGAAGGATGCTCAAACCACCAGAGTGAACTGTGACGCCTGCCCTCGAAGGTTGAGGCCACCTGCCTCAACTTCAATGAACCTAGCGGGTCAAAATCCAAAATTCCGTACCAGTGAACTTCAACCAATCCAACCACTAAAATAGGAAGCCTAAAACGGGTGGAGAATTCACCACTCCCAACCAAAATGGGGTATCCCAAAACGGCTTTGACAACCACAGCCATGAGCCTTTCCCCCCATGCCCCAGTCTCCACGGTAAATTGGGAGCACTGGAGCGCAACCCTCGTAAATATCTGAACATCACGATGAAAAACACCCCAAGAATCCAGGCCGGAATGCCGGGGAAGAATGGGGTGCCTGAAAGGCTTGGCTGACGTTGGAAGGGGAGCAAACAACTTATTTTTTAGCAGTTAAGTGGAGAGATTTCAACCACTAAACCACAAGCAAAAATGCAAAATGTTTCCCAACAACAACCATGAAGAGGGGGTTCTGTTGTAGAACAACATGGGTTTTGTGTTAAGTATATACTAGGAAAAAAACACCTATTCCTCCTGTTGGGTTCCCTTTAAACCAAATGTCTTGAGGTTTGGAAAGGCTCCGCGATGTGTCTCTCATGTCCAGGCTAAGCAGGCCACGGCCCATTCGCCGCCCTGGCACAACGGCAGCAAGCAGGGGCTGGAGTGCTCTGACCATGAGCCCGCAACACAAACCATACACATCTATATGTATATATACATACATGTATGTACAATGCATTATATACATGTATATTATATATATACCACTCCAAGGAGAGGGAAACACAGTTTTGTCAACAACGGGGAAACCCGGGACCTTAAAAGGAACGAACCCCTCCGTGACTGCGACCTCTCCCTTAACCTCGTGGGTAGCGCGAGCAACGCGCTCTTTTCAGCACTTGAGCCAAATGACATGCGGACATGTCATCTGGGTCCTTGTCATGTTTGTACATCATGCAACTTGTTGTACCTCTGGGCCATAAATGTCATCGTGATAATTGACTCCCCCCTCATTGACGGCACTGAGGGAGTGTCTTGGGCGCATTACCACGCCAACTTGAAGTCAAGTTTACATCACAACGACTGACGCAAGTTATTCAAGCATCGCCCAGTCACTTGCACACTTTTGGAAATTTTGCAGACATGCTGCAGCGCACTAGGCAGCTGCTTTAGCGGATCTACTTTCACGAACGTCTTCAAGCTTCTCTGGAAGGTCAACACGAATGCCGAGCAACCGGATGGCATGGTCCCACTTGTTGGGTGGAAGTGCTTTCGTGAAGATGTCTGCTGACTGCATGTCGGTTTGGACGTATTCTATCGAGATGTGTTCGCTTTCAAGCTGCTCTGCGATGCACGCGAGGTTCACCTTGTGGGTGCGCTGGACACAGCGTAGCTTGGATGAGAAACCCTTCTTTGCTACGAGGATAGTCGCCTGGTTGTCCTCGTGGATCTTGAGATGGAATGGTCTGTCCAAGATCAGCTCCCATAAGCTGAGCGCAGGAAGCGCCTCCTGGTAAAGGGAGTATGCGAGAGATACGATCTCCGCCTCGGTTGTCGATCGGGAGACCGAGGTCTGCCTTTTAGACACCCACGCAAGGGGAAAATGCGTATGCGGACCACTCAAAGTCAAGAATCCTCCGGACGTTGATTTTGCGTCTCGTTCTCCAGCGAAATCGGCGTCCACATAGAGAGACAGATGCAACTCATCAGTCGAATCCTGAACTGTGCCGACTAGCGTGCTGTTGACCGTGCTGTTTATGTAGCAGACAAGCCTATGTAGCTGCTTATCGCAGTTCCTAGACCATTTCTGAACAAATGAGGCAAGGTCGCCAATGGGCTTGACCAGGTCTGGGCGTGCCAAACGGCCGAGCCATAAGGCTTTCATTAACACGCGGCAAGCGGCGAAGCCGAGCTCACCCTCCAAGGCGTCATCTGCAGGATCAAGGGATCCAGCGGGACAGAATGGAGTGGTGGCATCACGCAACTTTTCAGTTTTTAGCTGTGCAACCTCAAGATATAATGCAACCGTTTGACGGGCATAATCCCGCATGTCGAACGCCATGCCCCCTTTCAATCTGCCCATTGCGGCATTAAGATCGGGTTCAGTTGGGTCCTTTGGAGCATCTATCAAAAGGTGATTCCTGCCTAGCACCCGGTATATGTCTTCTGGGGGTTCTATATCAACCAGTCTTGTTAACTTTTCCCAGAAGTCTTTATGAAGGTGGCTGGGGCCGGCCAACGTCAAGTCGTCGACGTATGTCGAGAGAAGTAACCCGGACTCCTTGAACCAGAAGTTTCCAGGAAACTCTGCGACCTCACGCCCTCCAAGTTCACTAATGAAACCTTTGAGGTGTGCCTCCCAGAGTCCGCCAGCGTCAGGATGCCCATAAAGAGCTTTAACGAGCAAAACCACAGGTTTCACGAAACGCTCGCGCCACCACCTTGGCCGGAGCTCAGGCGGGAGTGTGATCCAAGTTTGGTACTTGGATTTCAGCAGTGCTTGCACATAAGCCTTTATAGCGTCCGCTGTTGTGGTGGAATTCCCTGGCAGGGATCCATAAGCGAGACAGTTATTAAGACCTTGTACGCTCGTGGGATTTGCTCCCAACTCTTGGTAGACAGCTGCTGCGCCATGTTCGTCTTTCGCACAGTCTCCGCGATACACAATCCTACCTTTCATCTTCTGAAGGTGTTTCGCGAGTTCGGCGAACTTGACGGATGCTAGCGACATCAACTGCCCGAAATGGACTTTTATACTGGATCGTCGCGCCTCAGCAGCGACTTGATCATACTCTCGGACTGAATTTAGATCCCAAACACCGGCTTTCTCCAGGCCTGTGGCTTCAAGTCGAACGGCTTCAAGGGCTTCCGGGGAAGCCAACATTTCGGCACGTGACAAGAGTCTGGTCACCATTGCGGTGATCTCAGGATCCTTTTCTTCTTTGACTTGTCCTAGGGAATGTGCGATGAGATTTTCAACATCAAGAACTTGTTCAAGAATGTTGTGACACTTTTCATCGGACTCAACAGCAACACCTATGTCTTCCAAACCGGAGAGAGGGGATATGTGTTTTAGCTGCTGTTCACGTTCCCGGTGATCGAGAGGCAATGGCACTTGGACAGGCATCGCAGGCACCACGGGCTGAACTGTCGGATACAGCGCACGGGCAACTGTGAGACACATGCCTTCGGGGTAGAAAGCGGTCTTTGCGGTCTTGTTACCTGCTGCAAGCGAATGTTTATACCCTTTTTCGTGCGGACACTTGAATGCACCTAGCGCGGATGCGAGTGTGCTATTGCTGGTCATGACTTTCCATGGCTTCTTGATGGGATAACCATTGCTGTCCTTCACAGTCTCTGCGTGACGTCTGAATCTGGAGAACAACTCTCTCGACTCTCTAACCTTTTGCTTCAGTTTCTTTTTGAACTGGCTTCCTAACTTGGCCTTATTAAGGCGTTGCCATGCTGAACCTGATGTGCAGGGAATTGCAGCCCAGAGATTGGGTTTGTCACAACCTTCAATCTGCGACTGCAACTGGATTTCTCCTTCATCTGTGCTAAGGTCGATAAACTCTTTAGCCAGCCTAACATGAGGTATACCAAGACCTTCAAACACGCGACCCATATTGGACTCTGGTGAACATGCGTATTCGAACATCACAGGCAACTTGTCAATGCGTGCCTGTCGCTTGCGGGCACGATGATTTCCTACCTCAAACTGCTTGGGCTGCGGAGCTTCAACCTCTGCCCTGCATGGCATGCCAAAAATTGGCAATGTATCTGGACGACCGTTCTTTGACGCTTCGGTGAGGGGTGTCGGCGGCACGGAGTCTAACATCACGGCTGCACCTGTGGTGATCACGCAATCGGCCTGAATGGGTTTTAACTTGAACACTGTGAACCCGGTCCATGCATCTCCAAGTGAGCGATTAGGTCGGCTACCAAACCAACCATCGTGGATGTTGTCTGCTTTGCCCCCCTGAAACACGGCACGAGTGGTGCGAGCTGCAGTAAATCTTTCTGAGGAAACGGGGCAATCCTCGACCTCTTTTGGGGTAAAAAGATTCTGCCTTGGCATGATATGGCATCGAACCAAACAGTTGGCATTTTCTTTGAACACCCAAAAATCTTCACCTTGCGATGTAGCGGCTGTCGCTGGCGCGGTATCGAAAAATGAGGCACCGGGTCTTGAGGGAGCGGGCTCCCCAGCTTCGGCTGCATCAAATTCATGCGCAACGTCTTCTGCACTAACTGCTATTTTAGGATCCTCCTCATGCTCGGATGCGTGGATTGCTCTGGCTAGCTCCTCATCCCCTTCAGTATGAACAATGGGAATGGGTTCCTTAGATTCAGTTTTGGCAGCGCTTTTTGCAGCTGCTTCAGCTCGATCTGCAGAAACAAGTTCGGAGAACCTCCTCTTGCATTCGGCACTGTGAATCTTGGAATGACCGGTGCATGCACGGTAACCTGGCGTTTCCTTGAACTTGATGATCCTCTCAACAGTTATGCACACGGATTTTGACTTGACAGCGGATGGAGTCGGTGGGGCCCCAAAGGGCGCCTCTCGCAGGGGCAAAGTTGGGGGATCTGACCCGTCTGTCTTGCCACCATGCAATGCTCTGTCTGCTGCTGCTGCGATCGGGAAGCTTGGGGGTCCGTCCTCAATGAACAATTCCGGTTCAGGAACATCGTGAACGGAAATGGAACCATCTTTACGGAAGGCTTCATAGTCCATGACTTTGACCACATTACGGTACCGCAACCCCGGATCGACCCTCCAACCCAAAAAGAGCGCTGGCGCCATGTTCGGATCGAGAGTGCGCTTGCCAGGAGTCTTGGTTCTGTACCAAACCAATTGCCCGAAACAGCATCTCTTCCCTTGGAACTTTTCCTTGGTGAGAGCTTCCCATTGGGTTTTACCGGGGCTGAATGGAGCAGGCCTGTCGAACGACATGGAGAGACATGCAAATGGGTAACTAAACGTGTGCAACGAATAGGGCAGCCCTGATTGCAAGTGGATGCTGCGACAGCATTCCTTCTCTTCGCGAATGTCGCGCTCCAGGACGGTGTTGTGTGGCCACCTGTTCGGCAAGCTTGTCTCGGGGACGAGACCGACTTCGTGGGCCGCTCCTTCGAGCTCTCCTGCTGCATCCATTTTTATTAGACATGCTGGCGGCGAATCAGTGGCCCGAAGGCCCATGAACTGACGGAAGTTTTTAACATGCGCTTGCGTGTCCCGCCTACTCACAGGGTATGCAAGGCGAACGCCTGAGAAAACATCACGTACTACATGGTGAGATTTGATTCCTCCGAAACCTACTCCGAGATGTTCATCGCCCATGGCAAGAATCACGGAATCGGTAGCCAACTGCTGAAATGGTGCGGTTGGAACGTCGACTTTGTCGTCTGATCTAGCATCCTTTTTGTGTGCTACCCTTGCAGAAGTGGTCTTTGAGATGGAACACACCTTGCAAAACGGGTTCTTAGGGAAATGGGACCTCATGTGCTCAGGAGATTTTGCTTGCTCCTTCAACGCAGTATCGTGTGTCGGGTCGCCATCCCCGAAGGCGATCAACGGAAGTTCATCCTCGGGAGGAGGGGCTTCCTCGGCCGCTAGCATGTTCACAGGAACC